GATTGTAATGGTTGTTGTTGTTGTTCTACGGACTAGAGCCATCCGGTTTATATAGACACCGGAGAGGGCTAGGGTTACATAGAGTCGGTTACAATGGTAGGAGATCTACATATCCGTATCGCCAAGCTTGCCTTCCACGCCAAGGAAAGTCCCATCCGGACACGGGACAAAGTCTTCAATCTTGTATCTTCATAGTCTTGGAGTCCGGTCGATGATGATAGTCTGGCCGATGATAGTCCGGCTGATGATGGTAGTCCGGCTATCCAGACACCTCCTAATCCAGGACTCCCTCAACAACCCTAGTTGTTGCAATACCTTCCACAGTACCACCAGCTGCACGAGTTGGTCAACTCAGCTAGCAGCACTTACCCAAGCTCCCTTGCCACCTAACACTACTTCCGAAGCACTCTTGACACAAGATGAGTTGCCAAGATGAGATGAACTTTGTGAGCTTCAACAACAAGAAGGTAGTTGCTGGAGTCAAGTTACAGTTGCATGCTTATTTATATGTAGTCTCACAATTTGATGTACACTAACACTTCCTATGTTCATTGTTGGACTAGCACCTAGGCGCAAGAGGAAACAAACATCAGGGATAATGCTCGATAGGTTAACTAAATCTAGAGGAGGAAGAATGGAGATCCGTTTTGAGGCAGGTTTAACAAGGCCACGTGATGCTACGGAGTCAACCAAGTTAGTATCAGAGGCAGCAGTTGCCGTTAGGTGTCATGTACGTATCCTCCCAACATGGATTCAGTACAGGAATGACAAAGACGAAACCCAGTTCAACACCTTCCTCGACCATTTATCTGTAAGTATGGTTATGTATGGAAACTAGTAATATCGTCTTCTCTGTCCCATACTTTCTAGGTTGCTGATAATGAGACTCCCATAATTTTCAACAGATGAGGTTCAAGTTGGATAGCCAAGATGATGCAACTAGACAAGCTTGCACCCATGTTTTCAAGTCTGCTCTGCGACATTATTGGTATAACTTGAGGAAAACTCACTTTGAAGGCAAGGCTAACAGTGAACTTGCCGAAACATCTCCAGTGGAAAATATATCGGATGAAGAATGGAGAGGCCTCGTTAAACACTGCTCTGATCCAAAGTATCAGGTACATTATATATATGTGATCAGGTCACATGTTGAAGTCCTATTTACGCATGATCCTCACAAATCTATCTTCTTGTAGGTGAACTGTTCAAAGAAGAAGGCCAACTGTACGAAAGTGAAATTCCAACAGACAACAAGATCTCGTAGCTATATTGCACACTGCGATGCTCTTGTAATTAGCTGCTATTTCACTCTTTTCACTGTACCATATTATCAGATCTATATTGACTTGTTCCAAATGCAGAGGAAAGCCTGCAAGGACCAAAAAGTACCTGAACCAGATGTTGTGGAAATCTTCAAGGACTGTTACACCAGCAAGACGAAGGGCATGACTACACCAGTCAATGTAACATCCCAAAATTCTAAATTTTGGAATGTTATATTAATTAATTAAATATATGTTTGTTTGTTTAGTTCATAGTGATAGTTGATAAAAATGGTTTTGATATTAGTTCTTTTTGCTAGTAAATGCTTTAGTAAATTATTTGTTGTTATTTCATTAGAATTATATTTTCTTTGCTGTAGAAAAGTCATTAGAGTAATTTAGTGTTGTTATGATAAAATTTGTGTGAGTTGGTCTCAACTAGATTTCCTTGAAGTTTCCTTTTGAAGTTTTCCTTTCTTTTTCATTTGTTTTTATTTGAAGATTATTGTTTCTTTATTGCTTTTGATTGTTATTTTGATTGATAGGATTGTTTGCTAGGATGTTTGCTTATATAAATGTTATGTCTGTTAATATAGATTTTCAACGGAGTGACGATTAGTTCTACCAAGTCATTCTGAGAGCGTTGTTATCTTCATCAACTTACCAGGCAAGTTCACCTTGACCATGCTTTTCATGCCTACGTTTTTATTGCATTTAGTGTCACCATTCATAATCCCTCCAGTAGTTATATAGACTTCTTGTAGTTGAGTAGAATGCATGAGGTAGGAACCCATCACCCTGTTATCAAGCCCGGGACGCTATATAGTTTTAATGCTACGCTATAGTAGACGGGGTTGGTATGAGTGCTCGGGAGTGGTGTGAGTATGAAGACCTCTACGTCAACGACGACAACTCCATGATGGCATCGGCAAGGACTGCATCTTCAAGACCCAAGACAAGAATTCAATATACCTCTAGGTGGAGAATGGTTAAGAAGGGTACATTAGTGCGTCCAGTACTCGGTGATTCCGAAGAAGCGCCGTGATATCATGCGGAAAGCTCCATCCAAGGCTCAAAGAGACGGAAGAATACTTCATGCCCGGAAGCTTACCTGTGCAACTGCAAGTCACTATGGGCTCTGGCTTGGTTGACCCTAGTGGTGACTCTGGCTGGGATGGTGCTAGCAGATGTAGAACTATGGTAGGATTGGATGAGCACCGGACAGTGGTCAGGGGAACTCTTCGAAAGACCATGTTTCGGTCGTCTTGTTCTCAAGCACCCTGAAGTGCGAGAACGTAAAAAAGAGGGATCGAATCTTGCGGGTAATGTGTACAAACCTCTGCAGAGGGTTAAAACCTAATCGATTAGCCGTGTCCCCGGTTACGGACAATTTGAGCCTCTGGACTTGGATCTATCTCGGAACTCTCAACACAGGTATGATAACTTAATTATGGGCAACTTATCATGATTTGGGCTATGAGACATCGGTTGGCGGAACCATGTCATGATAGAAAACTCTGTAGCACATACGGACTATAAAAACCGCCTATTAAGTGTATTTCGAAATTACATGGGCATGGCCAAAAAATAAGGTGGCGCAACCCCTATATTAAGCTATAGACAAAATTTATGAAAGGTCATCTTATATATTTCGTCCATGTCCTTGTATGCCATCATGGTGGCTCCAAGGTGCTGAAAAATCCACTGGAAACTCCGTTCTTGTTCCCCTTCCGTGTGCCATCCTCTCCATGCTTGATCATGCTCTAATATTCATCCTTCTTTTCCATGTTGGGCCCTTCATTCGTAAGCAAAACAAATGTATCCAAATTAGACAGTATTACATTCTCATGAACATTAGAATCGTTACCAAGAAATGGAAGTACCTGGTAATTTAATTGTCGTGTGCGAGTTCTAGTAATTGATCCAGCTAGTAGCAGTAGAGGTTGTGGGTGTAACTGTAGTAGTGATGATTTCATAACTCTGTTCTTACATGAATGTCCCTCCTGTTCATGATCTTCTTGAGCTCGTCCAACATGCTCGTGCCACTGGTGTCGATGCTGCCAACCGCTGCATCCAAAAAGAACAAGTTTCATACATGCTCTGCTTGAGATGCTTAGGTGTGGGCAAAAATTCAGACCAAGTTGTTGTAACTTACCACCCATGTCGAGGACGACGTACTGCACGCCGGTCTCGCCCTTGGCGATGGTCCGTTCATCGTCGTCATCGTCAATCTACTGGGGTGATCCTCTCGCGCAGGTTGCCGGAGTTGGCGAAGTAGATGGGCGTGTCCATGCGCAACACGAGCATGTCAAACACCGTTCGTGCCATCGTTTATTGGTCCATCCGCTGGTAGATGGTCGTGTCCGGCCCGTTGCCCATAACTGCGGTCGTTGGCCACGCCACGAAGAGCAGCACCCGCAACACCGAGATGGGCACAACCACCACCAGCCCCATCTCGACTCTGCCGAAGATGGCGCCAAGGTAGGCTCCTGCGCAGACGTAGAAGTTCACCTTATTGACGTGCCAAAGGAAATCGCGGAGCCGTGGTAGGCCCCCGCGTAGGCAACGTGCCAGAAGCCGTGATAGGCCCCGCTGCGACATTGAACAGCTCCGTTGGAGGGGCAGTCGCCGCCACTGCCGCTTCCTACGAGCAGCACCTCCGCCGCCCCCCAGGTTGCCGTCACCGTTCTCCCCGTGAGCAACAGCTCTCGCCGATGACTCATCGTCCTCCTTGATCCCTGCCATCGGGTAGAGGATATGGTTGGGGGGGATAGAAATGAAACATGAAGGGGATTTGTTTGGTACGGGAGGGCAGAGACTTTTTGGTCGGGTCAAAGAAAAAAAGGTTCAGGCGAACCACCCATCGGAACGAACGAACTTAGGAGGTGACGTGTCAAAGAAACGAGTGTCAAGATTCTTGCAGCGCAAACGGACGGTAACTAAAGCGTTCGGGCCAAATTCCTTAAAAACCAATGTTCGGGTGTTATCTTTTCGGTTTTTCTTTTGAAAATCCTATCGTATAGATTCCTATAAAATTCCTTAAAAAAAGGGAAGGCTTTTAGATCTGGAGGTACAGGAGGGGAATTCCATGTCGTTCGCTCAAACGGTGATGTACCAAAGAGGCAAAGACCTTGATTTGATAGGGAGAAACTAAAGGGTTTTGTGCAAAGAGCAAGCACTAGAGCAGTGCCGCTCCTTGGCTCTTTCGTGTTGTTGGCTCTTTCATGGCACCCCTGTCGGATTAATAACCCAACCCGCCCCAGCTAATTCCATTGATTAACGAGGACATGACAGAGCCAAGGAGCGGCAGTGTTGTGGTGGCGTACACCCGTCGATCCCAGGCCGACTTTAATTAGCCACAGTTACTACCACCTGCATCGCAACCCCCACCGCCATGAATGCGTGATCTACTAGGCGGCTGGGGCTAGGCCGCTGCTCTCTCGTCACCACCTCCCCAACCGTAAATTGAAAATGAAGTGAAGTGTCGTGGAGAAAACGAGGTCCAACATCGAGAGAACGCGGCAGCATAAATTCCAGCCGAGCAATTCCTCTGTTTCTCACTCTCTCTCTCTCCTTTTCTCTCTCAGCATTAATGGTGGGGGGTTGCCTGGGTAGCTAAGCTAAGCTAAGCTGCCTGCCTTGCTCGGCTGCGCTGGAGGAGAGGAGTCGCGGGCATATGCTTGCATCCATCTCGGAGTTAAAGAGACGGAAAACCGACTTGGTGGTAGTGGAGAAGAGATGGGGGAGGGGAACGGGACTGCGTGGGCGGGGGCGCTGTCGCCGGCGGCGCGGTACGCGGAGACGGGAGGGGCGAGCTTGACATGGGAGAACCTAACGGCCGTGCTGCCTGGGTCCGGCGGCCGGCCGACCAAGAAGCTCTTGCAGGGGCTGTACGGCTACGCCGTGCCCGGCAGGATCGTCGCCATCATGGGGCCCTCCGGCTCCGGCAAGTCCACCCTCCTCGACTCCCTCTCCGGTACGCGCACACATCTGCATACTCTCCTCTGGATCCAGTTCTGGCACGTTTGTTCCAGCGGGTTTACCCTCCTTTCGGTTTTTCATTTTTTTTTGTTGTTGAAATAATAGTAAAATTAATAATTTCTGCGTTCGTTGCAGGGAGGCTGGCGAGGAATGTGCTCCAAACCGGCAAGGTGCTGCTCAACGGCAAGAAGAGGCGGCTCGACTTTGGCGCGGTGGTAAGTGTGAAATTTATAATAGAAGCCTAATTATACTCTCAACAGTGAGCCATTTCCTGCAACCAAACCTATCATGGGCTTCATTCCCATTTTCTCAATCAAGACGTCGTGTCAACAAAATGAAGCTTCAGTACTATGCTTACCATTTCTTTAATTTCTTATTGTTTGTGGACGAATTTGTCAGTAACCATGTTGAGCTTGAGTACTCCCTATGCACAAAGTGACCATAAGCACATTTACTAGCCCATCTGAAAGGTTGGATAATCAGGGGGTCAAATTAAAGTTCAGACTGTATTAGCTAAGAGCAGGATGCATAACGGTAGTTGTAGTTGCCGTTAAGCTCATACCGAGACAATCCGATCGCTGAGTTTGTTATCTACGTTTATGTATCCGTTGCGGCGGGCATCGGTCGATGCGGAGGCTGGGGCACTCTTTCCTTTATGTAAAAACTAACACCGCCTAAAAACAAATGTTCCACGGAATGGTTCCTTTTGATCCCCTCTAATTTCGATGGATCATATGGATGGTACCAAATGTACGCAATTTCGGGTCCGCTACACCAGCGTTTCCGACCCACATGCGTCACCAGGCCCAACCGGAGAGCAACACCGACTTATGAGAGGCCTTGGGCCCTCTCCCCCCAAAAGACTAGCCTGTTAGGAGGGGACACCCCCGCCCTTATAAATCGTGTTATGTCTCCGCCCACAACCGATGTGGGAATAACCCAACAATCTCCCCCTCACACATCGGTCACCCATGGGCCCGCTAACACCAGCGTTTCCAGCCCACCAACCATGACCGACCACCCGTGAGTTCACCGAGATTTATTCCGGGCACCTGGGTTCTGATAGCAAGCCGTTAGTTGGTAGCTAGGACTTGGAACACATCAAGCCCTTCATGTGCGGGTTCATACTCCATAATTAGTCTTCTGGTGGTTTCCCCATCTGAATTCAGTTTTTAGAGTATACTGCTTAGGAAAGTATATTGGGCAGTTCGGGGTCGACATCTAATGATCTAACATAGATCTTATCTCAACAAGCTATCACATTCTAATGTAGAAATAATAATAGGCATGCTTTTGAAAAGCCACTGAACAGTGCCAAAAATAGTCTAAGTCCATTTCAGCTGAGTGTCTCAAGGTACTTTGTCAGGCTGTTGCCACCGGACCATGTACTACGAGAATGACACTGCCATTAAAAGCCCAACCAATTCTTGTTTGATGTTAAATAGGAGGATGCATTGGATTACGAAATGCAGTTGTCAATCCCTTTCAGTATGTCATATTACAAAATGCAGTTGTCAATCCCTTTCAGTATGACATGCATGCCACACTGCTAATAGTATTAGTCAATGAAAATAATTAATGTGGAATAGACACTCCACTCTTGTGTAAAAATTTGACTCGTCTAAGGCTGCAAGTTGGAAATGGAATGCTTCTCTTGCAGGAAAAAGGAAGTGCAAATTTCAGATTCTAGTAAAATCCTTAACCATGCCAAACTCGTCAAATTTATCTCGACATATGCTCCTGAAAATATAAAAAGTAAGTATGTGTTAAACAACCCAAAACTCATGTGCCCCATGCCGAACTCCAAGATTTCAGCTCCCCTTGGGTATTTAGCTCTCACAAAACGTTGCCAGGGTTCAGATTCAGCATTCAAACACCAACACAGTTTGCACATTAAGCTATTATTCAGTTTAGGCTAGCTTTTCATGCCCAAACCTCAGGTCCCCCATTACTTGCCAGAAAGATGACCTCCTAATCTTACCAAAATCAAGAGTTGTTTTGCGCCTATAAGGAACATGGCCATGTGGTAAAGAGGACTAACTGCAGTTTAAGTAGTTGTTGACTGTTTAAGACCAATCGGTGTCAGAACATAAACCACATGATTAAAAAAACTAATCAATACTGAAATTCTGATGCTACACAGCAGGTGTGGGTAGTGGGTACTGGATAGCAATTTCAAAAGCGATTATGTGTGAAGTATAGTTGTGAAATTAGTTACTCTAGTTTAATTCAGTACAATTTAACTCCTTTCTTTGCGGGGCAGTACATACAATCAATTTCACGACATAAAGGAGGATCCATATGGAAGTAGTACGAATTATCACTGGATGGGGATAAGATTACACAATATTAGGGCATCCACAATGTGTGTATTTGCTGCCTCTCAGGCTGCCTCCAGATGTATAAAGGTTGCCTCTATACATTGCATCCCCAGCCTCTAAGAAAAAAAGGCTTAGAGACGCCTCCAATCTTAGCGCCGTCTCCAACTCTCCTTGCCGAATAAAATATCCCAGTGTCCCCACTTGTCAGCCACTTATTTGTATGTGGAAGCCATGGGTTGCTAGGTAAAGGCAACATATAATATTCAGTTATAGGTACAGGTCTGGCACTAGAACAAGAGGCAACACATTGCGTGATTTTCATCTAGGATTAGAGGCAGGACCATGGGTCCCAGTTTAGAGGCAACCTTGCCTCTAGACACTGTGGATGCTCTTAACATAAAGGAGGATCCAGCTGAATCTGGGATACCCCTGAATGTTGTACTCAAAATACGAGCTACCAAATTTGTCTTAATAACTACGATACGAGGAACCAAGATATAGTGAGCTCTCAAGTGTTTGACGTCGGTGGTGTGTACCTCGGTCTACAGGCGTACGTGACACAGGAGAACGTTCTGCTGGGCACGCTGACCGTCCGGGAGACGGTGACCTACTCGGCGCAGCTGCGGCTGCCGTCGAGCATGTCAAAGGCTGAGGTGCGCCGTGTCGTCGACGACACGCTGGATGAGATGGGCCTCCGGGAGTGCGCTGAGCGGCCCATCGGCACGTGGCACCTCCGGGGCATCAGCGGCGGCGAGAAGAAGCGTCTGTGCATCGCGCTGGAGATCCTCACCCGGCCGCGCCTCCTCTTCCTCGATGAGCCCACCAGCGGTCTCGACAGCGCCTCTGCCTTCTCCGTCATCGAGACGCTCCGCACACTTGCCATTGATGGCGGACGCACCATTGTCTCGTCGGTGCACCAGCCCAGCAGCGAGGTATTCGCGCTCTTCGACGATCTCTGCCTCCTCTCCAGTGGCGAGAGTGTCTACTTCGGGGATGCCAAGCTTGCACCACAGGTACTACTACTACAGTACTACATATACGGTCACACGAAGCGCTTGCATGTTTTTTGTACGAGAACTTGGGCTCAAAAACATGGTTGCTTTTGTTTTTTGTCAGTTCTTTGCAGAAACCGGATTCCCCTGCCCGAGCCGGAGGAACCCTTCCGACCACTTCCTCCGGTGCGTCAATTCGGACTTCGACGATGTCGCCACGGCCCTGAAAGGATCCATGAAGCTCCAAGCAGTATGGGCAACTTTAGGACTGGTTTTCCTTTTTAATGCAGTATGAGCAGCATGGTGACGTTTGGTACATGTTTTGTGATCGGGGTAAATGCATTTTTGTTTGATTTGAAGGAGGCAGATCTTGATCCCCTGTTGAAGTACTCGACTACGGAGATCCGAGAGCGGCTCGTGGATAAGTACCGGATCTCAGACTACGCCATGATGGTTAGGAACACAATACACGAGATAAGCAAAATAGTAAGCCACTCCCAAATTCCAAGCATCTTTTGAATTTCCTTCGATCTGAGTTTTTTTTTCTTCTTCTAAATTTTGATGTTGTTGCATTGGATTTGCAGGAGGGTGTGATGGAGGAGGCAGTGAAGGGCAGCCAAGCGACCTGGTGCAAGCAGCTGCGCACGCTGACCAAGCGCTCCTACATCAACATGTACCGTGACTTCGGCTACTACAGGCTGCGCATCATCATCTACGTCCTGATGGCCATCTGCCTCGGTACCATCTACTACGACGTCGGCAACGGCTACACTGCGATCCAGGCGCGTGCCTCGTGCGGCGGCTTCGTCTCGGGCTTCATGACGTTCATGTCCATCGGCGGCTTCCCCTCCTTCATCGAGGAGATGAAGGTCTTCTCCCTCGAGCGGCAGAACGGCCACTACGGCGTCGCCGCCTACATCATCTCCAACTTCCTCTCCTCCATGCCGTTCCTGTTGACCATGTCCTGGGCCAGCGCCTCCATCACATACTGGATGGTCAAGTTCCGGCCAGGATTCAGCTACTTCGCCTTCTTCGCCCTCAACCTCTATGGTGGCGTCTCCGTCATCGAGAGCCTCATGATGATCATCTCCGCTCTTGTGCCCAACTTCCTCATGGGGCTCATCCTTGGCGCCGGCGTCATTGTAATTCTGCAACCAATATTTTCTTCTTCTATAGTATATGTATTTCATCACTTGGCACGTGCATCCTGGTGTCTGACAGGGTCGATGCTTGCATTTTGCAGGGGATCATGATGTTGACGTCTGGATTCTTCCGGCTCCTTCCAGAACTTCCCAAGATATTTTGGAAATACCCAGTGTCCTACATTGTCTACGGATCTTGGGGTTTGAAGGTACAGCTTTAAGCTTTTGATCGGTCAGCTGCAATGGATTATGCAAGTAAAATCCTACTAGCTAGCATGCATCTGAAACTGAAAGCACTGCCTTGGCATGCAGGGTGCATACAAGAACGACCTGCTCGGGCTGGAGTTCGAGCCGATGACGCCGGGAGGGGAGAAGCTGACTGGCGAGTTCATCATCACCAACATGATGGGGCTGAGCGTCAGCTACTCCAAGTGGCTAGACCTAGCCATGATCTTCATACTCCTCCTGGCCTACCGCATCACCTTCTTCTTCGTCCTCAAGGTCAAGGAGGCCGCCGCGCCCTACCTCCGCGTCGCCTACACGCGGTTCACCGTGAAGCGCCTTGAGCGGCGGGCGTCCTTCAGGGAGTCGCTGGCCATGACGTCCTTGTCCAAGCGGCACAACGCACCGCACCCCATGGCCATGCAGGAGGGGCTCAACTCCCCCATGCAGCAGTACTGACTGGCCAATGTCAATGAGTACCAGGAGCAGCCGCCCCGGCAGTTGAGTTGATCATTACTACAGCAAGACGATAGCCGCCCGTGACATGCGTCTGTCACGATTACTTGTGTATGCGTTTCCACTTGTTAGTTTTGCTTGCAGGCTTGCGGCTTCGCTGGAAGCTTCAAGGTTCATAAACATACGGATAGTGCATTCTTTAAAAGTTTGGTTTTACTGTAAGAAGTCGCTGCAACCAATACAGATACGAGATAATATTACGCCTCATTGTTTTGCTCGTTTGTTTTAAGCTCACGTACTTCATGCACATATCCAAGGGAAAGGAACATAACAACTGGCTATTCATGTGTAAATACTGGTGAAGCACTCAATGCACATAATATCAAATTTTAATTACTCCTTCCTTCCAAATTAATTGAAGTTATAGAGTTTATCGTAAGTAAAAAAATAATTTTGACCAAACATATAGAGAAATATACCAATATATATGTTCACACATGATCGTGTTATCTTGTGGCCTCGCCACGAGCGCAATACACAAGACACGCTAAGAAGTCATTTGTGGACCCAAAACACCACATGTCCGAAAGGGACCCATTACAAAGTTCGATGGCTATGGTCTCTTGAAAGTGCATCTAATTCTCAAGGTGGATTTTGGTAATTCATGTCAACATATCTCATGGAACTAATGTCTCCTTCAAAGTATATTTCAGAAAATATTATTTTATGTACAACACAGAAATGAAAGATGACCCATAAAAATGCTTAAAAAGAAGTGTGTTGGACAAGTCAAAGGATTCTACATTATTATATGTGATCCGAGATCACATTGAGTCCATATGCATTCCTATAATATCAAAAGGGGATGAGAATATGGTAATAAACCATTTGCTCCATGTTCTTAAAGATCAAACTCCAAAAACTCCTCGAAATCCTTAAAAGATTCCACAATATCTTCCTAGTTTCATTCAACTCGCTGGTGCCGAAGCACTTCCACTCGAGGCCATCGAATCACCTAGATATAAGTGGTGTACACATCTTATTCACTCGAAGACTCCCACCATTCCATTCAAAACCACCGAAGCATTTGGTAAACCTCCCATTACCATGTCGGAATTCCGAGCAAAACTAGTCAGAACTTCCAAAGCGCTAAGAGAGAGTGTGCCAATTTTGAAGTGTTTACTTCGGAGCCACCGATTGTTTTCAGACCTAGGGATGCATATGAAAGTTGCTACTTTTATTCACTTCGGAGCCACTGAGCAATTTCAGTCGGAACCTCCAAACTGTGCAATAAAGTTGG